TTTCCTGCTTATGCAGGGGGTCGGACTCGATGATCTATTGAGGTCCCTTCCGACCCTAACATCTATGAATCTATACAAGGGCTAAAAATCGGTATTTTTATGTTAATCATGGTACAGCTTGGCCGGTACATCTCTCTGTTCTTTACCCTTGTTTAGAAAGCTTATGAAGTTGAGTTAGGTAATTGACTACAAACCTAGGTTCACCTTGGAAACTTTTCTCTTCCATCTTGAACCAGATTTTTTCCTGAATAGCTAACCCATCTGCAGATGAACTAAGATAAGTGCTTCTTTTTAAAACTTACTTTCTAAACCTAGGTAAAAAGTATTTGTCCTTAATGGGGTAGCCACCTACTTCAGGACTTAGAAGAAAATTAATCTTAAATATACTATTTCAAATATTAACAAATTTACCAATACGTAATTATTGATTATTTGGTGTGAAGTGCATTACCTATATTGTCTTATTTGTATATAATTTGTATTTCAATATCAACTAACATTGCTATTAACATTTATCTAAACTCATTCTCTTAAGTACTTGATTGTGGGGGGATAGGCTCCCTTTACCTTCCTTGATCCCTGGAACATCTCTGGGAATCAAAATGACTTACAAGTATAACATTTATTTCTGGTTGAATGACTATATTTTGAAAATCCAGGTGGTTTGCTGAATATTTCTTCTTAAAAGTGAATGCAGTGCTTGTAAAAATGTGTTCTTGAGTTGGTTCTCTCAACAGGACAGTTTGGCATAAGCAGCAACAATGTGTGCTTTCCTACATAATCCTGTTTCATCTTTAAACTGAAGGCCTGCCACCTCTAGGGCTGAAGGAGGAAGTCTGTCTTTTTATTTGGCTTCTGAGTGCCATTCATTTGTTTTATTGATGGACTTTTCAAATGGATATTTGTCTTCTAGTTACTGGTAGAGGGCAATGGATGTCTATAAATGGTAGCTGTTTTGCATATGTAAGAGGATCTTGATAAGGAGATGTACCTAGCAGATTAATAGTTCTTTTTTAAAAATAGTTAAAAAATCTTTTTCTCTCTCTTTTTCCAAATCATGCGCTTGAGGAAAAATCCTGTGCAATTAATGATCACCAAAGATGAGTGCCAAGTACATAGGGGTGTCTTCCAGTCTGTGCACAGAAAAGGCTGCTTCTGTGGCTTTTTTTCAGTCTGAGCTGTGAAGTGCAGCAGTCTTCTTTTTGCTTCTGACAGAGATGAGGATGTGGGATCTGAACTGGTTGCCTGTGTGAAAGGAGTTTCTTAGAGCCTTGTGTTTCCATAGTTGCATTTTTATGGTGTCTTTCCTTTAAAACATTTGACATCAACTACAGTAGTCAGGTAAAGGCAGCATTTGGTCCCATAACCATGAACCACAGGGTTTTGCTGTAGTGGAAAGGGGATCTAAAGAACACAGGCTTTGTATTCTAGTTAGATTTGAGTGCATACACTAAGCTTTCATAAAATAAATGAAACAAAACAACCTCCTCCCCTCCTCCCCCCCCCCCCCCCCCAAAAAAAAAAAAAAAAAAAAGGAAAAAAAAAATCTCCCACTGCACAGCTGCCCTGCTGGAAAAGACAGTAACATTACTAACGCTGGCAATACTTTTTTATACCATTGTGTTATTTAACTCTGCTCATCTTGGTTAAAGTGGTGGTGGTTTGTTTACATTAGTAGTTCCACTCAAGAAGCAGCACTGGTGACAGTGGAACAGTAGGAGACTTAATAAAAAACCTTATTTAGCATTCAAGCCTTATTCTGGATCCCTTATTTAAGTATGCAAACCCACTTCTTTCAGAACTCCTCATGAATAGCATTTAGCTGAAAATGTTTCTTCACCATCAAATGATTAGACTCCTTTAAATTTTTTGTTCTTTGTTTTGGATACATACTTCTCCCTACTTTGCCTTGGTACTGCTGAGCTGTGCAGGGGGAATTCTTTCATCCTCCAGAGGAAACAAAAATGGAAATTTCATAGTCCTCAGCTGATATTCCATTATAGTGCTGCATAATGGTATAGGGGTGTAGGTTGTAGCCATGTTGGTCTAAGGACATAGGCAGACAAGGTTCCTTGGGTGAATTTGATATCTTTTATTAGACCAACCCAAATAGTTGGAGAATAGTTATTAAGCAAGCTTTCGGGTTCAGAAACCCTTTGTCAGACTAAGGAAGTTTCAGCATTTGGTGTGTGCTCTTCCTGGATGAAAAGGCTGGCTTCTTTACTTTTCATTCCATCCAGGAAGAGCACGCACCAACTGCTGAAACTTCCTTAGCCTGACAAAGGGTTTTTGAACCCAAAAGCTTGCTTAATAACTATTCTTCAACTATTTGGGTTGGTCTAGTAAAATATATCAAATTCACCCAAAGAACCTTGTCTGCATAATGGTATATACTCTTAATTTGTACATTGCTGTACCACATGGATGCTCCATTCTAGGGTAATCTCTGCTGGTTTTTGCCCATGCCATCTGTTAACGCTGCCAGTATCCAAGAAGTGTGTTTCATATAAATTCTCCCAATTTAGAGGGAAAGCCAGAGTTGATAGTTCAGGATGGGTCTAGACATGTATAATGGCATACAAATGAAGTCAACATATTGTTGCTTGATTGTTTTCCAACTCCAGGAAAAGGAATAGAAGAGGATACTCTACTGGTTAAAGATTACAGAATAATCTACAGATGTCTCTTTCAAGGTTGTGTTCAGTAGTGAGCTGCCTAAACTTTCAGGGATGAAAAGGAAACCAATTATTTGACATAGCAAACTGGCTGTACTTGATGTCTGTGTGGTGCTGACCTCTGTAGCATGGAAAACTTGAGAACAGATATTTGCAGACAAATGTGAGGACTGAAGAAAAAGGGATAAAAATGAAATCAGGGGAATATGATTTCTGTCTACAAATACTACAGGGCAGTAAGCAGTAAAAGAGAAAAGAGGTATACACTCAAAGATAATGCTGACGCAAGACTAATTAGGCATAAAATGGCCATGAAGGAATTCAGGCTGGAAATCAGAAGGAAGCTTATTATCGAGGAGTGACATTGTAAATGGAACAACTTTTCCAGTAAGAGCAGTGAGATATATAATATATAAACAAACCACAAAAAAACCCACAAACAAAAAAACAACCAAAAACTTAAAAGTTAAAGCTTGAACAGGCTAGAATGTTGTTTATGGAAGCAGAGCTTCTGACTTGATGATCCAGGATGTCCTTTCCAGCCTTGTGTTCCTCAATAAAATATACTGCATTAAAAAGATAAATGCAGTTGTAGCAGTATGGCTGACATTGTGGGGGTGTCAGGTAAGATTTGTTGCAGAACATCCCATTGAAAAATGTGTTTTTTGGATTTGTGGGTTTTTTAAATTCTGTCTGTAAAGTGTATGTTCTCCATCTATGGGCAGTGTAAGTCATTTCATTACTACTTCCTTTTTAAGTCTGTGAACCTGAATTAGCCAACCTACAAAAAAAATCCTTAATTTGATTACTTTTACAGTAGTATGCAATGTTGTATTTTTGTACTTTTTTAGTCATATATAATGCAATATAAATACATTTCCAGTTGCTAGTAAATGTGAAAAACATGCATCCTAAATATTAAAGTTGTGGCTTTCATGACATTTTCCAAGGGGTATTAATCACTTGATGGCAGTCTGCAACTGAGTGTTTATTTTAAACTATAAGCACCTCCCGATATAGGTCTTTAAACAGTTCAGGGATTAAAGTTCCTTTATAAATACATTTCTGAATCAAATATAGCATTTTAGATTTTTGATAAATGTTGTATCTAGTACCTGAGGATGAAAAATGCAGGTATACAAACATTTCATGTGTATGTAATGGATATGGGAAATGGGTCTTTACTGCAAATAAAACAGCTCCTCTCAGTTCTTCTTTATTGTTTGATGTCTAGCTCAATATTGTGTGCATCCCTAAATTGCATGCAGTCAAATTGCTGCCGTAAGAAATAAGTGATGTCTTAAAGTTCCTAAAATAATAAGCTTAATTAATTAGGATAAAAACCCTGTCCTGTAAAAGCATGAGGATCTTCTTAAATAGTTGAATTATGGTGTTGAAATTGTGTATAGTAAAGGATTTCTACTTAGGCTAGAAAAGTTTTTCTCTTTCCTATCTTGGAAAAAAAAAATAGGGTAATCTTTCAAAAACACATAGTAAAGATATTTTTTTAAATTGGAGACATGATGTATTTTGTCTGGCCTCTTTATAGTTTGAAACATTCTTAAAATATGTACAAAATTAGCATAGGAGAAACTTTTCTTCTTTTTTCTTCCTGTCATCATTTAATGAAAGACTTTCTGTTGTGCATTTCATACCTTCAATCTTTAGTTATTCCCCTACTTTTTTCTAGTGTGCTGGAAGCATGTGGTGTTCTCTAAAAATGTGTTTTAAAAACTAACCAGTGTGCTTTTAATCAATCTTTGAAAATGGAGTCCTTAAAAATAATAGTACTTTACATTGTATAATTTGTTCTAAAAGGAATTAAAATGCAGTCAGTAACAAAAAGCAAACATTTGTAATGCAGAGAATTGGTCTTGTTTTTTAGTTGCACTGTGGCCATCGATGTAAAGAGACTTGCCATCCAGGTGACTGTCCTGGAAATTGCAATCAGAAGGTTAAACTCAGATGTCCTTGCAAGAGAATTAAAAAGGTAAATTCCAGTTTGTACTTCTGGGAGAGACTTTTTACTGTATTGTTAAATCCACCCTGGGTTCTGGATGGTTCAAATTGGCATAGCTCCAGTTACTTTATTGGTTCTACAACAGTTTGAATTAGTGGAAGATCTGGCCCCTGAAATCCAAGGATTCATTAAAGAATGTTAAGTCTTGTTAGTCTAGAATCTAAAAGTGCTGTAATTCATGCAGTTCTCTTTTTGCATATTCACATGGATTTTTGCAACTCCCCTGGGAGAATAGCAGGATAATCTGGGACAGATTTATTTCAGTTTAAGAGGAAGGAGTACATTTTTTTTTCCTAACAGAGATCAGGAGAGTATCTAGTTTGTTAAAACTGGTAGTCCATCTGTTAAATTTTGAATTTTAAATCCATTTATACAGCCAAGGTCCCAAATAAGTCTAAAAGCAAATGCAGTGGTGTTATTCTTAGTATAAATCAGGGGTGGGCAAAATGGCAGATCTGACCAGTAGCCAGGCTCCATTTCCCAGCAGCCCTTGCCCACATTGCTGTGGCTGGTTTCCATGGAGACCCTAGGAGTGTGGGGGCTGTGACAGTGCGGGGCCAGGGTTTCCATGGAGACCAGGCCAGGCAGTGTTGGCAGGGTGTGTGGCTGGGTGGGGAGCTGCTCCGGGGCTGGGGCTGGGATTTTGTGGCGGTGACAATGTTGTTCAGAGCCAGGGCAGAGCTGCGATCTGCTGCCTGCATGTCCCTGCCCACTACCCCTAGTGTATTACAGTAATAAATAATTACTAACTTATTACAATAAAATAGGGTGTCTGACTGCAGGATTGTTTTAAAACCACTCTATACAGAAATTGACTGCTGGATGGATATCAGAGTACATAGTTCTACAATAGTTCCTTGCTATAGGTGAGTGAAGGATTTACGGGTCCCTCAAATATGTCTCATAGGCCATGGGCTTGGTTTAGTCAACACAGAACAGGCTGGCTTAGCATCGAGATTGCTGGTTGGGGTATTTAGACTTTTGGGATCAAGTGTGGCAAAACGGATAAGAGCTTTGAACTGAACGAGGGAAAGACTCATCTGTATATTTACTAAGGAGATGGACAGTTAGGAGATAGAAAACGTTATTGATGACAGCAGTGATCATGAAGGTGAGATGTGTAACATGGGGCCATATTATAATAACCCCAAAATTTAGATGAATGCTTTGGTTTAGATTTCAGTAAGGAAAGTACTGGATGTGTGAGTAAATCTGGTGGGGATGATATTTAATGAAACTGTCAAATTGGGAGTGGTGCTGTGTGACTGAAGAATATCAAATATAATACTTCAAATATTTTCCCATTCTTAAATATCTGAGTTCTCGTTCTTAATCTGACTTCAGTGGAGCAATCTCCATGTTTTAGAATAAATTTTGAAGGAAAGTGTGATTAAAGGCAGGGAGAAAAAAGGAAAATTGGATAAAATACAACTTGGGTTGACCAAAGATGGATTGTATCATATTAACTTGTTATTAGTTAAGAAAAGTGATTTTCTAGACAAGGAGGGTGTGGCAGATCTAATTTATTTGGACTTCAGAAAAGCATTTGGTACAGTGCCACAGGAGAAATTATTTAGTTAAGTGGGGAAGACGGTGATTAATATGATACTGTAAGGTGGATAAGGAACTAGCTAAAGTGAAGAAGTGGGGTGGGGGTGTTGGTTGTACCCATGTTGGTTTAAGGACATAGGCAGGCAAGGTTCTTTGGGTAGATGTGATATTTTTTATTAGACCAACTAAATAGTTGGGGAAAAGTTCTTTGTAAGCTTTCCGGCACAAACACCCTTTTTCAGGCAATGGGCAACTGTTGATGTTATGAGTTCTCCAAGAACTCTCTTGGAGTTCAGCAGCCAGAAAGCTTGCAAAGAACTTTTTTCCAGCTATTTAGTTGGTCTAATAAAAGATATCACATCTACCCAAAGAACCTTGCTTGCCTAAAGTGAAGATGACACTTTGTACTAAAAGGGAATTATTGGTCTGAATGGGGAGTACTTACTCTCCAAGTATCTCATCAAGGGTATATTTTAGGACTTAATGTTGTTTATTGTTATTAATGATGTAGGCACAAAAAGGGAGTTTTGCTTATTAAGTTTGGAGTTCTTGCCAGTGCAGGAGAATGACTGAAGTACTATAGAGGAAGAATTAGGTACTCTTGAAGTTTGAAATAATATAAGTGAGAAAATATTTAATAGGACAAAGGAGAAGGTCATGCATTTGAAGACTGTTAAAAAGAATTCATCGGTTGGAGGCTGCAATGGGAAAAAGGCTGCTGGTGTGTTTAGACGACGCACTGCAATGCTATGTAGCAAAACCCTAGTCAAATGCGAGCCATCAGTATAATGTGCCCACTTAAAAAACAGGCAAATGCGATTCCAGGATGACAAGTGAGATTTTTCCAGCAGAGACAGGGAAGCATTAATGCCCTCATACATGTCACTAGTAAGAATACTTTGTACTGTGGTTACCCACATTCAAGTAAGATGAATTTCCACAGGCATAGGTGCAGAGAGATGCTATTATGATGATTAGCAAAAGCAGAAGGAAGAGCCTATCTCACAAGGAGACTAAAAGATTAGCTTATTTCCCCTAGCAGAACAAACACTATAAGGGATATGATTTTTATAAATACATCAGAAAGGAAGAGCTATTTAAGCTTCTAGGACAATGCTACTACTAGACAATGTTTTAATAGGTATAAACTGACCCTGAATAAATGTAGGTGGTGTTAGAAGGAGATTTGTATCAATCAGAAGAGTGCAGTTCTAGAACAGCTTTCCAACAGAAGTAGTTAAGGGCAAGAAATCTAATTGGTTTCAAGGTCACATTACATAACCTTTATGAAAGGTATTATATGGTACAATTTCCTGCAGAGCGGGGGTCTGGATACGGTGAACCAAGATATCCATATCCTATGATTCTGCAGAATGGACATAAAGCCTGGAGAAAGGATTTTTAAACCCTTCCATTAGCTGTACAAAAGTCAGTAGACTTGTCTCTCTTATTTATTTCATTTCTATACTCCCTTCCCCCAGAAAGGTTCAGGGGAATAAAAGGCAAAGAACAGATCAAATAAATTACTTTAAAAATTCCCCAGAAACTACCTCAAAACTTAACCCCACCTACTAGAAACCTTCTCAAATAAAGTCTTAAACCACTTTTGAAAGATGTCCAGACTCAGACAGTCCTCAAAGGGGAGGGAGTTCCAAAGCTGAGAAGTAACTACTGAGAATGACCTCCCATATGTTGTTTGCCAAGCAGACTTGGTGCACAGATGGTACTTGCAGGAGGGGGCTTTTGGCTGAAGATTTTGTCCCATTAATCAACCTTTTTCAAAATCATAAGGCACATAATGCCCAGAGTAGATCAGAGAGGTGTGCTTCCGAACAGAGTATACCAAAGAGATTTTTTTTTTCTGAGCTCCTTCAGAATCCAGTAAATCTCTCACTACCAAAACTTTCTTATAGATTGATCAGGAAAATTGATACTGGTAGCAGCAAATTACTTTTGCAGACATTGTCAGGCTCACCGTGACACCAATAGCAGCTGGATTAATTCAAACAACCAAGTGCATTTCCTGTTGCGCATCTCTGAACTAAAAGCTGTCAGGATGCCATACAATTGTGAATCTTTGTGAGAGAAGTAATTAAACTGTTTCTGACTTGGTGGCAGAGAAAAATAACCATGGGTTCAAAAAAGTTGTAGTAGATGGATAAAAAAAAATAGCAGCCATAGCAAGTCCAGTGGCAATGATGATGATCTTTCTGAGTTTATATGTTAGAGTAGAATGATATCAGAACCAGTTTATCTGTATAATACAATCTAAAATCTTGAATCATGAGGTAGAGCTTCTAATAGGAAATCTGATACTCATTTTCAGACTTAAGTCATCCATGCAAATATTTTCTTTCTACCTGTTTTAAAACACTGTTGTAAAACAGCTGTATTTTTGACCTGCATAAGTATTTGAAGACCCCAAATGAAAGATCATTCTTCTAAATCTAAACTAAACTTATTCAAGAGTTGCTGTGTAACAAACTAAAAAGGTTTGGGGTACATTTAGAAAAGTACAGAAATTAGGTTCCTTCAGATTAATGTAATGGTGTATCGGAAGTTGAAGAAATTTAGCCTGTTGAAGCGGAAGGACAGAAGATTCTTTTTTGGGCTATTTTTTAATGCTGTTGAAGTATAGCCACAATGAAAATGCAAGTCCTTATTCCAGGTTTCCATGCATCTCTTCAATATATCCTTCATTCAAGTGCAATCTCTTTTTATATTCAAGGTCCCCTAAAATTTTCAGAATCAATAGAAACAATTGAAAGTCAAAGAACTTGAAAAGTTGCAGTGTTTTTCTGTGACAACAATATTACCTTCACCTAGTACAAGATTAGTAGCATAAATAATTGAAGCACTTTGCCCTGGATATATGCTTAGACTGATTTCAGCAGTATTTACTGAATCCTAAAAGAAGAAAAATACAGGAGGAGTTGCAAGGAAAACCTTAAAGAGTTAAAGACTTGAATCAACCGACATGCCTTCAACATGAAAAATGACCCAGTAATATCCATAAGCACAAATTCAGAGTAAACTGTCTTCATTCTCCTTTTAGAAAGAAAGCAGCAGAAGCTCCTATCTAGGTTTCTAAAGGTAGAAACTCCAGAGGCAAGCATGAAAGGGTTTTTTTTGCCACTTTCTAAGACAAAAAAAAATTTAAAAGATGAAAACTTTTCAGGTGCAACCAGCCTAAATGTCTGAAGCATAAGAGTTCAGCATAGTATTTAAAATGTGTCTAGAAAAGTGCATCTCTGAAGGCATAGGTATATTACGGAAATTTAGAATGTTTCTCAACCATAGTCAGTCTTCCATGATTAGCTAATGTGAAAATAGGAGGCGGTCCCTTTTTTTTTGTATTCAGTTTTTATCAGTAGTTACAGTAGCTACATTTTTCTCTAGGAATGAAAAGGACTTTGTAAAAAGAGTACCGTTTCTTCCAAAGAGATTTTAAAAAGGGAGAAAGAGAGAAAATAAAAGAAATTAATGAAAAAATTGACAGCTCAGCAGCTCAAATTGAGAACGCAGTGGTTAAGTACAGAGGCTCAAAAAATCTGAGGCAAAATTGATTCGCTCTTTGCAGTTTGTTTCTAAGCTGCATAGATTGAACTGGTAATGCACTGAACTGACATTCAGTGTTTGGGTGGCCAAGACAGGTGGAAGCCTGCGCTGGCCCAGACTAGGAGCCTTGGGCTGCTCACGTGTACAGTCCCTCAT